AAAAATAGCCCTGGCAATGGGTATCTGCCTCATGTCCCTCTGGACTTTGGTGAAGCTAACAAAATTGAGAGAACGGAGTTGGAGATTTCCCTGATGTCCCTTCTTTGTGCACCTTTAAATGGGGGGGGGACCTTGTTGATACCATTGACGGGTTCCCCCCACCCCCATTCTCAGCTTAGTATTACTAGAGTCCAGAAAGTTGAGGTAACACACTGTCACAAAGTCCTCAGACAAATCTTGGCAGGCCTGCCTCAGAGTCTAGTCACCTGGAAATCTAGGCCAGCACCTGGGGTGGGTAGGCCAACGAGGAATGTCGTATGTGCTGCGAGGTGACACTAAAGTGGGAGAACCAGGATTACTTAATGGTTTATAATGCATTTGCTGAAACAGGGAAAGATTCCTGAAAAACAGATTGTTTCCTCATGGAGATGGGACCCTCTTGTGCTGTGATTGGTGCTTCCCTATACACACGCCATTTCCCCCCTCATCATCAGAGCCAGTTTGGGGAGAGCCAGTTTGGTGTAGTGGCAAAAACAGCCATTGTATCAAATAATGGTATCAAATATTATCAAAAATATATTTCACCCAAACAATACATAGAATACATTCAGACAGCACCTTGTCAGTATCTCAGTATCACTATCACTAGTCCCACGGGACTCTACCTGATAGAATTTGAGAGATACGCTATCTTAGATAGGTTATTATGTTTGCTGCAAGGATTCTGATGGGACCCTAGACAAGTATGCTGCTATGTTAAGAGCTTTAGTGCCCACAAAGAAAAATTATTGCACCTTATGTCCTTTATATATACATCACGGTCCTTGAAAAAGATTATTTCAAAATGGGTAAATTACTAGAGTCCCATGGGGCTACTGATAGTGATACTGAGATACTGACAAGGTGCCGTCTGAATGTAAACCTGCACTCAATGGTATTGTTTGAGCGGAACATACTTTTTGCTATGTATTGTGTGGGTGAAATATATTTTTGATAATATTTGATACCATTATTTAAATAACAGTATCGAAAAATATAAAAAGAAAAAGAATAAAGCATAAAATTGTTCTACCATAAACATATACTTACTGTAAAGGTAAAGGTTCCCTTGCTCGAAAGCCAGTCGAATCCGACTCTAGGGTTGCGGTGCTCATCTCCGTTTCAAAGCCGAAGAGCCAGTGCCGGCATGACTAAACACCAAGGCGCACGGAACGCTGTTACCTTCCCACCGAAGTGGTCCCTATTTATCTACTTGCAATTTCTTGCTTTCGAACTGCTAGGTTGGCAGGAGCTGGAACTAGAGACGGGAGCTCACTCCGTCATGCGGCACACTCGGGTCTCGAACTGCTGAACTACCGACCTTCCACAGCCTGCAGTTCAGCATCTTAACCACTTGAGCCACCGCAGCTCCTATACTTACTGTACACAGTGACATATACTTTTGTATGTCCAAACTTCTGAGAGCCTGGGAGCTAAGTAGAGTCACCCATGGTCAGCACTTGGATGGGCGACCACCAAGGAAGACTGGGGTTTCTACGTGGAAGCAGGCAATGGTAAACCACCTCTGCCTCTCTCTTGCTTTGAGCACCCCATGGTTGGGGCGACCCATGAGTTGGTTGCAACTGGATGGCGCATTCTCTTTCTCACGCAAAGAATTGCTTTAGATTAACCGCTGTGTGTGCCAGACAGAAAAAAGGAGCATTTGTCCATCACGCAAATGTTAAGGCCAGTTTGCAGTAAACTTTCCCCCTGTCACAGTAGGCAGAGCCTCTAGGTAAGGATAATCCGGGAACTGTTCTGATAAACAGCCTCATGAACAATTCAGGAGGGGAGAGCACAGATCCCCTGTAAAAGGGAATCTTGCTCACATCTCTGTTCAATCCCTCCACCCCTCTTCTGCAGAAGCACATGTCTGATTGCGTAACCTAACAGCGATAACACGCCATCCCGCTGCTAGTTTTTCAGTGGTATGTTATCGCTGAAGCGTTACACAGTCAGAGATGTGCTTCTAAACATGGCAGCGTGGGGTGCAGCGGTCACCCTCATAAGCGCAGAGGAAACCACATCTGAAGTCGCAATGGGTATGCATCTGAGTCCACCCTCAGGTACAACAGGCGCTATATAGCACGCTTCTCGGTTACTACTTTCATGCGGTCAGAACTGCTTGTAGGGAGCCAGGTGGAGAGTGTTACTAAACTCGGTCCTTCTTTTCTTTCTTTCAGACCACAAATGACTAGTATCAGGATGTGTGGGCGAGTGAGCTGGTATCTTGGGTGGGTCTATTCCCCCTAGGGTTGCCAGCCTCCAGGTGGGGCCTGGAGATCTCCTGCTTTTACAACTGATCCCCAGCTGAGAGAGATCAGCTCCCCTGGAGAAAATGGCCGCTTTGAAGGGGGGACTCTATGGCATTGTACCCCTGCTGAGTTCCCTCTGCTCCCCAAACCCCGCCCTCTCCTGGATCCATCCCCCAAAGTCTCCAGGTACTTTCCAACCCAGACCTGGCAACCCTAATTCCCACCCACCCCCGCCTGAATAAAAACCAGTACATGTGAATCGAACTGCAGTTGTGTGAATTAAACGGAACCAAACTGTTCACCGGCCTTAGCTCACAAATGCATATACCTCTTAGCAGGGCTTTTTTTGTAGAAAAAGCCCAGCAGGAACTAATTAGCATAAAAGGCCACACCCAACAGCACAGCTCATTAACATATTAGGCCACACCCCATGTTACCAGAAGTGTGGTCATCCAGCCACACCCACCTTTTGCTTCTTATTCTGTTTACCTTGTTTATTGTCAAAACCCAGGGCTTTTTTTGTAGCAGGAACTTCTTTGCATGTTAGGCCACACACCCCTAATGTAGCCAATCCTAATGAGTTTCTGCTGTTGGGTGTGGCCTATTATGCTAATGAGTTCCTGCTGGGCGTGGCCAACTCGGGAGCCAGTCGGAACTCTATTCCTGTGCGTTCCTGCCCAAAAATAGCCCTGCCTCTTAGACTCCTGACATCTTAGACGCTTTCCAACCTTCAGCAGTTTTATCCATGCTAAGTATGGCAGGTGCCTACACTTCTCATTGTCACAAACCAGGAAAGAGGGGTAAATCAGGGACTCACAGCCATTTTAGACACTCCTGTCCTAGAGTTCGGGAGGGACCTTGATTCCACTTTCCCCTACTAACCCTCTCCTTCTCTCTTGTTACAGGCCTGCAGAGCTAAAGGTGAGTAAACAATGTGTGCCCATTTGCCAGTAGCTGGAGTTGATTGTGGGAAGGAGAGAGCAATTCAGGGGAAAGGGTTTGAAAGTGCTGAACTCAGGGATGTTGCCTGGCGTTATGCAGGAAGGGCCCCACATCACATAAGTTCAGCGAAAGCCAATTTGTACAGCTGGGAAAGCTTTTACTGAACTTTGCTACTTCAGACGAAAAGCACAAGAGGTACATATTTGAACATGCTTAGCTGGGCGGGCGGTGGTTGCAAACCTTCCGCTGGTAGCTAGAGATCTCCTGCTGTTACAACTGATCTCCAGGTGTCAGAGATCAGTTCACCTGGAGAAAATGGCCACTTAGGAAGGTGGGCATTATGGCCTTATCCCCTGTTGAAGTCCCTTCCCTTCCCTCCCCAAACCCCACCCTCCTCAGGCTCCACCCCCAAAACCTCCAGGTATTTCCCAACCCGGAGCTGGCAGGCCTAGTGTGCAGGGAGTACTTTTGACCGGGGAAGCTTTCCTATATGCAACTCTCCATTTGCATCAGGATGTGGTACCAGCGGTGAAAACCTTTACCACTTGAATCTGGGGATTGCATACACACGTGCCCTAAACAGAGGGTGTCTCCTCCCTGAAGGTGCAACCAGATCAGCAGAGAAAGATCCCATGAGCACATCTTCTGACATCTTTCATTTCATTTAAAAGCAGCCATACTGGGGACCGTGGTGCTGGATCTAATCCCTTCTGCTTACAAATTTATTTATTTATAAATAAATAAATACTTTGGCTGCTGTCTTGAGAGAAATCCAGCTCCTCCCAGCTGTGTTAGCCCATGGCTCTTCCCCACTTAGGGTTACCAACCTCCATGTGGGATCTGGAGATTTCCCAGAATTACGACTGATCAGTTCCATCGGAGAAAATGGCGGCTTCGGAGGGTCCACGCCAGTATGATATACCATTGAGTCTAGGAGAAATCAAAGTCCCTCCTTGGGGAGAATTTGTTCTCCAGGGATTTCCCAAGGCTGAGTTGGCAACCCTTAGGGTTGCCAGGTCCCCCATGGCCATCAGAAGGGGATGAGGGGGTAGGATTGCCAGTTTCATCTTAGGAAACCTCTGGAGATTTGGGGATGGAGCCTGAGGAGAACTGGCATCTCAGTGGGGTACCATGTTATAGACTCCACCCTCCAAAGCATCCATTTTCTCCAGGGGAACTGATCTATGCAGTCTGGAGATAAGCTGTAATTCTGGGAGATCCCTAGGTCCCACCTGGAGGCTGGCATCCCTAGCAACCCTACAAGTACCTGAATTAATAGTAGTTTAAGAAGGGGCTATTTCTTCTTGGGGAGCGCTCTGTGGTCTGCCCCTGTTGCCTCAATCTAATTTTCCTGCCCAGTTGGCTGTTTCTATTTGTAAGTAAAATTAAAGTCTTCTGAAGATGCAACCTCCAGATGTCCTGGGGCTTGCCTAAAAATTCTTCTTTGGGATTAAGGTGGACAAGCACTGTGTTCCAGAGAGGCATTAGGGGGCACTGTGCTGCAATAACTGTAAAGATCACAGTTCTAAGGGCTGCAGGATTTGCCTATTCAGTAGGGAAAACGGTATCCAAACAAGATCCAGTACTGGAGAGTGAAAGCATGATCCTATACATGTTTACTCAAAAGTAAATCCCACTGAGGGATTACTTGTAAGCAAGCATGCACAGGGAGGGCTTCTTTTGGAAGCCGTCAAGACGTTAGGCAGAGTTCAGCAAAACTAGGTTGGGTTATCCATCGAAATGTGTGGGGAAATGCAAATTTACTTAGTGGAGCTCCCTTTGCACAGGGGACACAGGCAGGGGAAAGCGCAAGATCTTCTGCAACACCTCTATGCTTGTTGTTCAGGTCTGAAGTTATTGGTGTCTTATTTCCTTGATCAACAGCAGATTATGTCAGGGCACATCCGTGCACTTAGCAGTTACATAACTTCTATCAATCACATATACAAACAATGACACGTACTAAACATGTCAAGGTGCCGGATGTAATTTATTGGCGGGTCAGTAAATTGATACTGGTTGTCTGCGCCAGCCTTTTGCAAGTTGTTCATGTCCCCTTGGCAGTGAAAAGGCAGTTCAGGGCTCCTCCTGTGCTATGTAACTAGGCTTGCCAGTTTCCAGGTGGTGACTGGAGATCTACTGGAGTTTCAGCTGATCTCCAGGTGACAGAGATCAGTTCCCCAGGAGAAAATGGCTGCTTTAGAAGGTGAACACTATGGCATTATACCCCGTTGAGGTCCCTCTCTTCCCCAAGCCCCACCCCTGGCTCAACCCCCCCCCCCTGCAAATCTCCAGGTATTTTTGAGCCCACAGCTGGCAGCCCTATGTGTAACTCCGGCTGCGGTCACACGAAGCAGTAGCCACACTACTGTGATGGAAGATAGGTGGATTTTCCGGGCGTGATCTCACCGCCACATCTGGGAAGCGTAGAGCTCCCGAGGTGAACCCAAGGCTTCCCTACAAAGATGCGCGGTTAAAAACTAGTACCTCGGAGGTACTAGTTTCCGGAAACCGCGGGGCAAGGGCGGGCATCTGATCGCGTTTTTGGTGGCATCCGGCGCCCGCCCATGCCCCATTGCAAAAAGTTTTTTCCCCCTGAAGTCTCCAGGGATGCGCACAAGCAGCCAATGGGGCATGCACATACTTTAGGTTAAAAAAAAACCCGTTTGCCAAGCAGCGCCGCTTCTTTGGCGCGTCGTGTGATCGGCACCTCCCCCCTAACCACGGGACCTCGACAGGACCACGAGGGGACGCCTGATCGCGCAGTTGCGCGTTATTTCGCTGCGGGGCAAACAGTCACGCCTCCCCCCCCCCCGCGCGCGATATCCGGCCCGTGTGACCGGGGCCACAAGTTAGTTTTGCATGCATGGAGTGGCAAACGTGTTAATGGCAGCAGGGCAGTTTCCAGTGGTCACTGAACTTATTAGCCAATTGAAACCTGAGCACTATAATGCAAATTAGGATCCAAAGTGACATTCCTTTATCTGGCATGAGCGTCCCACTGCACTGCACTGCACAGGAAGAAGGTGTCGCAGTTGGCATCTGTTCGAAACTGATAATTGCTTCTGACTTCAAGTCAACGTTCACCTGCTCTGAGGATCAAACTGTAGGATAGGATGAGATGCTTGAGGGTCTGTGCACCCCACTCCTGGTATTATTAATGTCCTTTTTTTGTCCCACTCTCCTCCAAGGAATTTGTCAGTTTAAGCACCTCACCTAAGCTGATTTCCCTTCACAATTACTCTGTGGCTGAGGAAGGACTTGAACTCAGATCTCTCCAGTCCGTGCTTGCTAGGGGTGGGACTGTGGCTCAATGGCCGAGCATCTGCTTTGCGTGTAAAAGGTCCCATTTACAAGGACCAGGTAGTAGATGATGGGAAAGACCTCAGTTTGAGACCATGGAGAGGTGAATTAGACTCAGAGAGAGTGAGTGACCCAAGGTCCACGCAATGGCCACTACCAGTCCAGAGCAGGAAATACTGACCTTAATAGACCATGGGACTGAAAGATAGCTGCTGTGAATACATGCTGCTACTTCCACACACTGGGTTGGGTCCAGCCAGCTTTCCCTGTAGTGATGGGTGGTGAGGGTACCCTTTGTCCACCAAAAAGGCTACTCTGGGGATCGTGGGACCTGCAGGGACGAAAAGTGTGGGCAGCAGGGACTGGAAGAAGGAGGTGAATTAGTGGAATGGAGTGAAAAAACTGTCTGGATCTAACATGTGGATCAAAACTGTTGCGCATACATTGTGTTCAGGATAGGGTCGCCAACCTCCAGGTGGTGTCTGGAGATCTCCCGCTATTACAGCTGATTTCCAGGTGACAGAGGTCAGTTCACTTGGAGGATATGGCCACTCTGGAAGGTGGACCTTATGGCATTATGCCCACTGAAGTCCCTCCCCTCTCCAAACCCTGCCACCCCCAGACTCTACCCCCAAATCTCCAGGTATTTCTCAATTCAGAACTGGCAACCCTAGTTCAGAATCACAATGGTGAGGTATACCTGACAATTGTGCCATTGGCCCAAGTAACATTGACCAGGGAGCCTAGAATACGAGGAAGCATGAGAGCAGGGTAGTTGGTGTTTTTTTAGGGTTGCCAGGTCCCGTCGTCACTCAGGGGGATTTGGGAGGTGTTCTGGGACGTCCCTGAAATGATGACAACACCCAGAAGCGACATCATCACGCCAGGGACATCGCATGGGGACGTCCAGGTTTGAGGGCAAAACTCTATGATAAAACCGGCTTAAAACCATAGAGGTTTGCCCTCATACAAAAGCGTCCCTGTGTGACGTCCCCGGAGTGATGATGTCACTTCTGGGTGATGTCATCAAGTCAGGGAAGTCATGTGGGGATGTGACTGTTTGGGGGCGGGTTTTCCCCTGCCTGCTAGCTGGCTGGCAGCAGGCTGAAGCCCCGAAAACCGGGGGAACACCCGCCCCAACCTGGGGTCTGGCAAACCTAGTTTCCCCCCCTCTTTCTCTCTCATAGTCTACAAAAATCCTTCTGCTCTTTCCAACAGTGTATGGGGCCCTGCCCAAACCACGATGCCAGCAAAAGTCGTGGGAAGGCCCAGCCCTCTCTGTGCCAACCCTTGCTCTCAGCACAGTTCAGCTATGCCCGCATAAATGCCAGCCGTGTGTCCGTGTTCGCTTGGCTCTGAATGCTACAGGTATGCTGGGGGAAAGGACAGGAGGGGCCTGCTGTTAATGGGGATGTGGACAGTGGAGAATGGCAGATTTCTGCCTGTCCTGGCTTGGATGACATTGGCACTGTCTTGCCTGTGTTTAGCCTTACTGGGATGTGGGAAGGGAACATGAACATGGGAAGGAGATTCACAACCCTGGGTGAAATGTACTCATTCCCCGCCAAATTTTTGCAGGCAGATCAGTCTAAATTATGCCAAAATTATGCTTGTTGTTTTACTTTCAGGTATATTTTGAAATAATTTTGCTTCACAAGGTGACACGGGGCCAGGAGCAGACTAAGAGGTTAAGATAGCCTTAGACGAAGCCAAGTGCAGTGGCCTCTGCCATGCTACGAGTCTGTGCGGTGGGGCTACTCACCCAAAATGGACATACGAGTTTTGGGAAATTACTATAGGATTGCTTGATGCAGAGACATCATTCTCAGGTCTTCCAGGAGGTTCTTTTGCATATGGATTGGCTCCTCAGGAAAGCTCCTCCATTAGCATGTTCACAGCCTGGGGAACTCCTACAAGATATTGACTCAGCCCTACCCCACCTTCCTGAGTAGATATAAATTACCTGCCCACCATTTTTCTTCTCACCTTGACACAGAGAGTACTCCATCTTTCTGCGTTATACCTCTGAGGATGCCAGTCACAGCTGCTGGCGAAACCTCAGGCCCTACAATGCCAAGACCACGGCCATACAGCCTGGAAAATCTAAAACAACCAGTAAAACGTTTTTGATGTTTTGCTCTGACATCAGCAGGCATAGAAAGACTTTTGAAAAAAGATGAACGTTGAACATTGACAGTCTTGAACTTTGTGCGGTAGAAACCTGTTCCATGCTCCGACATTAAACGCACAAAGGCTTAGAATACAGGCAGCTTCGTAGGCTTCGTGGTGGTGGAAGGACAGAGTCATGCCTGCTATGGAGTGAGATCTTCTTGGGGGTAGCCAAGCTGTGTGTCTCATGATAGGTTTTCTTTGTAGAGTGGCCTGTTGCCTTGGGCACATTGCAAGGGCTAGCCTCACACTCTCTCTTTCTGACCCCAGGCATAGAAGGGCTGGAACTGCATTTCCTGGTACTAAATTCTAACCGCTCCGTCCGACTTCAGGTCCTCAGGCGAAACAAGCGGAGAGCAGGCACAGACACCTTGGTGAGTGGCTCACTGGCCCTCTGGTGAAGGCTGGAGTGTCCTTCTCAGGCTTTGACCCCAGCCAGACAGCCAGGGAAATTCAGCTGGTGACCGATGCTTCCCTCTAAACTGTGGAGTCTAGTGAGCAAAATTTCTACTTTGTGAGCTACTGGCATTAAAGTTGCGAAAGAGCGATTTGGCTGCTGCAGAAATTACTTTGCTCTGGAGCCATCCTTCCTGAGCTAAGGCAAAAATGTGTGAGCCGGAGGCTTAAAAAACTGTGCGCTAGCTCACACTAACTCAGCTTAGAGGAAGCACTGCTGGTGACAATACTCTTTATCCTCCCTGGGAAAAGCTGTAGCTGTAGAATATCTCTTTCCTGTGCTGCTGTTTGGTGTCTAGGGGCTCTGTTTCAGGAAAAAGAAGAAAAAATGGTAACTTTGTTGCACAACCCCTCTTTGGTTGCTGTATTAAGGGGAGCATGCTTAAGTAGGTCTACCTAGAAGTAAGTCCAATGTTATTCAATGGGGCTTGCTCCCAGGAAAGTGTCCTTAGGATCCTAAAACCTGGCGATACATCACACAAAGTGGGATGCCGTTGCCACTGCCAATGTTTTTGCAAAGGCAGAAACATTTTCTAGCAGTCATCTAGATAGAGGAACTTGCTTTCCCGACTTTGCAACAGCCCACCTCCAACACTTGAGTGTGGGCAGCTATGTTATTAGGTCCTCATTTATAAACCCTCCCCTCAAAATACCCAGATATTGCCTATGGGAAATCCAGAGTCTGCCGCTGGAAGAATAATCTGATGCTGCTATCTGTGGCCCCAGGGTATTTCAGAAAGGACACCCTCAGCAGTGGACTAGGAAGGTAAAACAGCCTTCGAACAAGCCAAGCGGAATGGCCCCTGCTGCACTGCAAACCAGTCCTGCAGGGGACACTGACTTCAGAGGCACTAAGGAGGGGCATTCGCTCAGCCACCGCTCCCTCCTTCAAAGCACTGGGCAGTGTGGGAGAAGGGAACTGATGAGGGGACACTGATGATCATTGTTGTTGATGGATCTGAGCCAAGTGATCCCTGAAGCACTGGGAGAGCTGCCAGGGACTGGCTTTCCTTCCTCCTCGTCACCAGTGGCCCTCGAGGGCAGTGCCCCCCAGTGCCCCCCAGTCCAACCCTGGCAGTGCTGAGTAGGGAAATACCTGGAAATTTGGAGGGGATAGAACCTGGAGAGGGTGGGGTTTGGGGAGAGGAGGGGCCTCAGGAGGTTATGATGCCATACAGTCCCACCTTTGAAAGCAGCCATTTTCTCCAGCGAAACTCTCATCTAGTGACCAGCTTTAATTCCAGGAGATCCCCAGCCAATGCTCCCTCTAAGCCGTGGAGTCTTGTGAGCAAAAATTCTACTTTGTGAGCTACTGGCTTTTTATTTATTTATTTTTATTTATTTTTGGAGTTATATCCCACCCTCCCCGAAGGCTCAGGGCGGCTAACAAAGAGGCACGAGTGCCAAAGTTAAAACAGATAAAAGCAGAATTAAAGCTGTGAGTGAGCGATTTGGCTGCTGCATAAATTAGTTTGCTCTGGAGCCATCCTTCCTGAGCTAAGAGAAAAATGTGTGAGCCGGAAGCTAAAAAACTGCGAACTAACTCACACTAACTCAGCTTAGAGGGAACACTGTCTCCAGCCACCACCTGGACATGATACAGCAGTTTTGTTGAAATGAAGTAGATCTGCATCTGCTCAGTACCTGGGAGGGAAGTATTTCTTTCTGCAACTAACAGGAGGAGAATTATCATTACTTTGGTCATACATTCAGTTTATGAGGCGCAGAAACTTGCTTTTAGAAACAAACAGCACTTAAAATATCTTGCATATATTACTGGATTCAACATTAGATAAAATATTTATACTCCACACCATGATTGCATCTGGAAATTTCTAGATCTACTGTTGCTTGGAGATTTGCCAGAGAATAGTAGACCTGACAGTAGGGTGTGACCACTGATAAAGAAGTTCCTCCAGTTTGGGGCAGGTTGATGTCCAGCGTAGCTATGAGGCATAGGCAGCAAATGAGAGGGATATTAGCCCAAGCTCAGGGATGCCAGCCTCCAGGTGGACCAGGGGATCCCCCAGAATTACAGTTCATCCCCTGATTTCAGAGACCAGTTCCCCTGAAGAAAACGGATGCTTTGGAGGGTGGGCTCTGTGGCCATTGTACCCCACTAGCTCAACCCCAAAATCTCCAGGCGTTTCCCAGCCTGGCAACCCTACGCCCTCATATTTTGCCAGTGGGCGGGGGGAACGGACCTGGCCACCCTAGTGTGGTGTAATGTGTCTTTAAGATCACTTGGAGTTTGTCATGTCCACCTGCAGGGCATTAGCAGAGTGGGCTTTTATCAGTCGTCTACTTGTTTGTAGCAGGAGCACGTTGTGTGTGCAGTGATACCTGGCACAAGGTTTGTGGAATAAACATTGTACTTTTGGATTAAACCCTGCCTGAGAGTGTGACTGAGACATTGTTGGATTTGTCCTGGACAGAGGACATCACACCTAGTTTCAGGGGGAGGATAGCTGGTGCGGCTACCTTGCTGAAACTAAGCAGATATGGATCTGGTCAGTGCCTTAGATTCTGTAGTACCTCAGGTTCTGTAGTAGAATAATACTGTTCCTTAAAAAGATGGACTCAGTTCTCATCACCATATTCTTTTCCCTAGTGGCAGCTGCAGTTCGACTGTTTCACAGCAGAGAGTGGCCAGTGGGTTTTTGTCTGGCTGGAAACCCTTCCCAGTAGGATGCTGGTTCTCAACCAAAGCCTTCAAGTTATTAATGAGAGGTCAGGTAAGATACAGTTGGCCTTGCAGAGTCTTACAGCTGTTTCTGTCTCCTATTCCTAGGCAGGGCTCTTTTTGTAGAAAAAGCCCAGCAGGAACTCATTAGCATAATAGGCCACACCCAACAGCAGAAACTCATTAGCATATTAGGCCACACCCCCGACAGCACAGCTCATTAGCACATTAGGCCACACCCCCATGTTACCAGAAGTGTGGTTATCCAGCCACACCCACCTTTTGCCTGGTATTCTGTTTACCTTGTTTGGTGTCAAAACCCAGGGCTTTTTTTGTAGCAGGAACTCCTTTGCATGTTAGGCCACACACCCCTAATGTAGCCAATTCCAATGGGTTTCTGAAGTTGGGTGTGGCCTATTATACTAATAAGTTCCTGCTGGGGGTGGCCAATTTAGGAGCCAGCCGGAACTCCGTTCCTGTGCGTTCCTGCCCAAAAATAGCCCTGTTCCTAGGAGCTCTGGAATTCTGTCCTTAGCAAATCCTGTTTCTGCAAGTGCCCATTCATCAGATTATTACAGGGAATCTGAGAACTGTTCGTGTCCTTAGCAACCCATACAGGACAGGAGACCAATCTTGGCGGGACCGGGGGGAAATCTTTCTCCTCTGCCACAGCCTGTTTTCCTTCCCCACAGGGCCCAAGTTCCACTACACATGGATGCCAGCAGATCGAGTGATTGAGGTGTCTGTTCCCGAAGGCCCCAATGTCACTGCGCGCCTCTGCCATCAGCTGGCTCTGGAGTGTGAAGAATTGCACCCCCCTTTCCACAAGCAGGTAGGTCCCTCAGGAGAGGAGGAACACAAATTGGCCCTATGTGAGGAAGAAAGCCTGAAAGTCTCCTGTTGAGTCCTATGGTGAGGGTGGGGGGAATGGAAGAGTGTTGGGAGCTGAGTGCCCCTGAAAAAAATCAAGTACCTAAGTACAAGCAGGGGATGCACAAGAGAGGAAATCTCCCCCCAGCCCCCCCAGTCTTCCTCCCTACATTATTTTCCCTTTTCCTGCTTCCTATCTTCTTTTCTGATCCCCCCCCATCTGCCACATTTCCTTCTAGGGTTGCCAACCTCCAGGTGGGGCCTGGAGATCTCCTGATATTATAACTGACCGTCCAACAGCAGAGGTCAGTTCCCCTGGAGAAAATGGCTGTTTTGGAGGGTGGAGTGTATGGCACTATACCCTGCTGAGGTCCTTCCCCTCCCCTCCCCAAACCCCACCCTCTCCAGCCCCCCCCCCCATCCCCCGTGCATTTCCTCAATCTCCAGGTATTTCCCAACCAAGATCTGGCAACCGAATTTCAGGCCTTGCTTCCATCCGCCCTGCAACTTCTCACCTTTTCCCTGCTTTCTTCCCTCTCTCTGCCCCCATCTCCACCCTTTTACTCCATTCTTCTTTCTGCACCAGGTTTCCAACCTCCAGGTGGGGGCTGGAGATCTCCTGGGATTACAACTGATCTCTAGGCTTCAGAGGTCAGTTCCCCTGGAGAAAATGGCTGCTTTGGAAGGTGGACTGTATGGAGCAATACACTGCTGAGGTCTTTCCCCTCTCCAAACCCCACCATCCCTAAAATCTCCAGGTATTTCCCAAGCAGGAGTTGGCAACCCTATAATTGGCTTTATTTCTTTCCATATCCTTCTTTCTTCTTGACTTCCCTGCCTCCCCCTTCCTTCCTCCACCTCTGCCACCCCACCACTCATGTCGTGTTACAAAACAGGGTAGCCAATCCTGGATTGGGAAATTCCCGGAGATATGGGGGAGGAGCCTGCGTACGGCAGGATTTTGGGAGGGGAGGCAGTTCAGCGGGGATGTGACGCCATAGAGTCCCCACCTCTGAAGCAGCCATTTTCTCTAGGGAAACGGCGCTCTGTAGGCTGGAGCAGTTGTAATTCTAGGGCATCCCCAGGTCCCACCCAAAGGTTGGCTACCCTATTTCAAAATGAAACTGCAGCAGTCAGTTTGGATTACCCAAGTAAAAAAAAATGTAAAGGTTCCCTTGCTCAAAAGCCAGTCGAATCCGACTCTAGGGTTGCGGTGCTCATCTCCGTTTCAAAGCCGAAGAGCCAGCGCTGTCCGAAGACGTTTCCGTGGTCATGTGGCTGGCATGACTAAACACCAAGGCGCACGAAACGCTGTTACCTTCCCACCGAAGTGGAACCTATTTATTTACTTGCAATTTCTTGCTTTTGAACTGCTAGGTTGGCAGGAGCTGGAACTAGAGATGGGAGCTCACTCCGTCATGCGGCACCCGGTACCACGAGCCAAAATGGCTTTCAAAATACCATGAAGTTATCTCACAAGATACTGGCATTTAAAAACTTCGTCACATCCATTCTGTTCTGGGGAGCCCCTCCAGATTTGTAGAAACCTCTCCCCTTCCTGTACCTGCCCTGCTGAGCAGTCAACATCACACATGACAAGAGATTGCCCTGTGGCCATCGGTCCACAAGAAGGAGGAGAGTCTCCGTACTTATATATCTAGTTCTGATGTAGACACTCTTTGCCTTCCTGTAGACCTTTGTTGGCCGCAGGGCAATATCTCGTCATATGTGTTGTGGTGACTACTGCATCAGCAGCTACTACTAGCAGCAATGGAAGAACTGTGGTTCATGGTTTGTATGTACAAGGATCCACAATCAGTCCTTGCCATTCTCAGTTAAAATATCTCAGGGGGTTGCCCTGTCCTCGATAGCCCAGGCAAGCCTGATCTCGTCAGATCTCAGAAGTTAAGCAGGGCCGACCCCGGCAAGTACGCTAGGGTTGCCAAGTCTGGGTTGGAAAATACCTGGAGACTTTGGGGGTGGAGCCAGGAGAGGGTGTGGTTTGGGGAGGGGAGGGGCCTCCGCATAGTAAAATGCCATAGAGCCCACCCTTCAAAGCAGCCATTTTCTCCAGGGGAGCTGATCTCTGTCGGCTGGGGATCAGTGGTAAAAGCGGGAGATCCCCAGGCCCCACCTGGAGGCTGGCAACCCTAAAGTACGCGGAAGGGAGACCAAGGAATACCAGGGCCGTGACGCAGAGGCAGGCAATGGCAAGCCACCTCTCTAAAACATCCAAGCCCCACTAGGGGTTGCCAGAAGTCAACCATGACTTCCAGGCATACACACATACACAAACTACTCACCCCCTCCAAAAAGATCTCAGGGCTAAATTGCCTAAAACATGGGGAATCATAAGCAGTTGCACCCTTCTAAGTCCATTGAAGTAAATGGGCTTAGGAGGATGCAACAGTGTTTAGGATTACATCGTAAATAACTGGTGTGCCTGGGTTTGGATCAGGACCAAGAAACAGGGGGAGTTTGTTTAAGCCTCTCCCTTGTGCTATTTTCCTGTGGGACTTTATGTTTATCCACTGGGGCAAACTGCAGCCCTGCAAGGTTGTTTTGAATAGAGAAACACTGTGTGGGTGTAAGACAGAACCTCTGTCCCTGATTGTGTTTGCCCAGGCCAAAGTTAATACCTGAATACATTCATGATGTTAGAATCATAGCTATTATGGAAGTGCTAAGTATACCTACTAAGTTAAACCTGTTAGGCAGTGGCAGAGTACAAAGTGGTTCACAAAATGTGCGTACAACAGGGGAAGTTTGCTCCCCCAGCTCTGTGGTCCTGATCCAAACCAGAATCTGATAGAGTGGCTGTTTAAAGGAAACTTGGGGGAGGGGGGATTTTGGCCTCCATTCACAGAACTCCTGGTGACTCACAGCAAGTTTGAGAAAAACGTTTGTCTGAATTGTGCCTCCAGCCAGAACAGCTAGCAGTAGCTAGAAGGAACAGAAGTCTGTGCCATTACGTGGCTGCTTTGTATGTTTGATGACACTGTTTCCCATCATCCTTCTTTGCTGCTGCTTGTGTGCACAGCCATCGTACACAGAGGGCAAGAAGGCAATAGATGCTCCGAAGGAGATGTGGCCTTGATGTACAGAGACCACAGTGAGAAGGAAAGATGGAAGGAAAATGAGCTGAAGGATGAGAGCAGGGTGGGGGTGCTGAGTTAGGGAGGCGTTGTCTACTTCCGAGTTTCAGGGTCTTTTGCAATCCCTTTCTCCCGACAGGCACTGGTTTCCAGACATCAACCTGCTGTGCTGCCGTATGAGTACCTGCTGCCTTGCTTATGCATTGAGGTGCGCACATGTGGATACATCCTATTAGGGTGGCCAGGTCCCCCGTGGCCACCGGCAGGAAGGGGGTGGGGGTTGCCAGCTCCAGGTTGGGAAACTCCTGGAGATTTGGGGTGGAGCCTGGGGAGGACAGGGACTTCAGTGGGGTCCAGTTAGGGTTGCCATGTCTGGATTGGGAAATATCTGGAGATTTCAGGGGTGGAGCCTGGGGAAGGTGGGGTTTGGGAAGGGGAGGGACCTTAGCATGAATGGATCTTGGTCATCTGGAGATTAGTTATAATAGCAGGAGATCTCCAGGTGCCACCTGGAGGTCAGCACAGTGCCACAGAGTCCACCCTCCAAAGCATCCATTTTCCTCAGGGGAACTGATCTCTGTAATCCGGAGATGAGCTGGAATTCCAGGGGATCCCCAGGCCCCACCTGGGGGCTGGCATCCCTACATCATATTGAGACACACCCCCCCAAGGCTTTTTGGGAAGACAGAGTGGAGATGTGTTCCTTGAGGAGAAACTGCGAAATAAAGGACTAAGGAGAGAGGATTAGAGGGCATTCAGACGAGCATTGCTTCAGATTTCACTACCTTTGTTTTCTGCAGATCATTGCAGCTGTACTGGTGACCTTTTAGGGTTAGCCAGCTCTGGTTTGTGAAATTCCTGGAGATTTGTGGGCAGTACCTGCAGAGGGCCGAGTCTGGGGAGAGTAGACAGACATGAGTTGTAATTCTGGGAGAATTCCTGGAGGTTGGCAAAAGTAGTTACCTCTGAGAGCACTTTCCACCCCCCCTCCACATGCAGTGGCTGTAAGAGCTGGATGCTAGCAATGAGCCGGGGAATTGTACATGGAGTGGGCACGTCAGCATACACTGGGAAGCATATTATTCAAGAAAGTGTGGACTAATCTATCTTTGGGGGTGGGGCAGTGTTCTGGAACACTCCAGAGTCTAAGCAAGAAAGAAAATGGAGTCCATCTATAAATACTAACCCAAGTGGCGGTGAGGTCCCCCTGGGATCATGGGAGAGGCATTAGAAGCAGCCTGATCTGCCTGTATCTTCCCACCTTTTCTGCAGGCATCATATGAGCACCTAGACAGCCAGCGTAAGAAGAAGTGCCCCTTTCAGGATCAGCCAGAAGCCTGTGAGTCTTACTTTATGAGCCAATCTGCCAACTGGGGCGAGTGCCTGTTCTCTCTCTGGGTCTGTCTGCACAATTCTCTTACGCAGAGCTCTGAGCAATTAAAGGGGAGGTAGCAGTAGTGTGGAAACTCAGGTTGCTAACTCTTTTACTGGCTTTGATCTTAATTTTCTTTATCATCCGCTTGATGCGCAGGCATTCATTAAAATCTGAACAGGGCCATTGCTAAACTGCTGTGCTTTCAAACCACTTTGTTAAGGAAACCCTGCTTTAGTCTTCCACACCACATCGTTTGTTCCTAAACGCCTTTGCTGCCTCAGAGCAGAGTCCCCGGATGCTGTCCCATGTACCCAAGCATTACTGTGTATGCAGCCCACTTGCTATTGGACAGCTGCAATAAATGGTCAGGGAAGGGGTGGGGAAGCGTTTGACATCCCAAATCTCCTCAGAGATCCTTGGACCACTCTTGGGTAAGCCAGTCATCAGCCACCCTCCACTTCCCCTATTTTGTCTAGCTACTAGTTTTGCCAATTCTGTGTTGTTGGGAAAAGCCTGGGGATTTTAGGGGCGGAGCTGGGGGGGCAGGGTGTGAGGAGGGAACTCAGCAGGGTACAGTGCCATGGAACCCGTCCTCCAAAGCAGCCATTTTCTCCAAGGGAACTGGTCTGTCTTGCCTGGAGATCAGTTGTAATTCCAGGAAGTCTCTAGGCCCTAACTGGTGGTTGGCAACCCTCTTCCTTAAACTTTCCTTTAAAAATCTGAAACAGAAGGAAAGCTTTTTACGGATCTCCAGGCCCGTAGCTACAGCGGGGCATCTTGGGGCTAGGCCCCCTGACTTGCTGGCAAGGCCCCTGACTTCCCATCTAGCCCAGGGGGTCACGGCCTTCTCCCCCGGATTAAATTGATTAGCCAGTGCCCCCTAAGAAATTTAAATGACCCCTGACTTTAAAAATCCTGGCTACAGGCTTGCAGATCTCCCTACTTCCTCTCTGACTGCTTTGCCACATTCTTTGTTTTCTTGTCAGGAATAAAATTAAAGATCAAGAAGAAATACATATTCAGGGCCAGGTCACTCACTCTCTCTCTCTCTCTCCCCCCCCCCCATAGTATAAACAGTTGGGTGGATGTTGAAAGCAGTTTCCTTTATGATATCTGCAAGCATCACCTACCCATACATTTGGGGCAGTTGAGGTATGGGAAACGGCATTGTTATGATGGGGATTTTGTAAGCAGTGTTCCCTCTAATCTGAGTTAGTGTGAGCTGGCTCACAGTTTTTTAGCCTCCGGCTCACACATTTTTGTCTTAGCTCAGGAAGGATGGCCCCAGAGCAAACTAATTTATGCAGTAGCCAAATCGCTCGCTCACAACTTTAATGTCAGGAGCTCATGAAGTAGAATTCTTGCTCACAAGACTCCAGAGCTTACAGGGAGCATTGTTTGCAAGTGCTCCCACATACCAGTTACTTCTACTCACCAAGGTGCATGACGTTTCCTTGTAGTCTGAAAGACCTCCCTCCAGTCTTGTGGCAAAGTTTCTGTGCCCAGTCCAAGGTGCCTGCAACACTTTTATCCCTCATCAGAACCCCTGTAATTAATTTTTGCCATGGGTTGCTGGTTGCCCAAGTGTCATAGAATCATGGAATCGTAGAGTTGGAAGGGTCACCTAGTCCAACCCCCTGCACAATGCGGGAAATTCACAAATACCTCTCGCCCACATCCCCAGTGATCCTTGCTCCATGCCCAGAAGAGGGCAAAAAACCCCAACAAACCCTCTAGGATCCCTGGCCAAACTTGCCTGCTTCCTGACCCCAAAATGGCGATCAGCATTTCCATTGATGTGTAAGAAAGGGCCACAAGAACTAAGCACTGAGGCAACCCCTCCAGTCCTCCCTCTCCTGATCTGCCCAAGTTCACAGAATAATTTCAAACAGGGGAAGTGATGGGCAGCTGATGACTTTCACCCCTCCCCCAGCTTTTTGGCAAAACGCAAGATCTTCACTGGTCGTTTTCTGCATATCAGGCTGCTGTTAATAGGACTACTTTGACAATAGGGAATTATCCTTACTTTAAACAATTGTATTAACGATCTCTTGCTACTCGTAGTTTTAGTTTGTTCCCATCCCCAAACCCTATAGGTGTGTGTGTAGTTTAGAAATAGGCTTGCCAAGTCCCCCCAGGGGGCGGGGAAATCCCCGCCCCAGAGGCCCGTTTCCCGGCGGCGGCAGATCAGGCCCCGGGGGGAACCCCACGCCGACGTGCGCGTCACCAGGAAGTGACGTTACGACGTCGGGCACACTGGGGGCGGGGCCACAACCATCTGAGGGAAAACTCTGCGGTTTCCTCTCCGATGGTCATGGCCCCGCCCCCAGCGTGCCCGATGTCATAACGTCACTTCTGGGTGGTGCACGTGCGCGCTCCAGTCGCCGCTCGGGAGTCCCCCGCTCCAGGAGAGAAACGACTTGGCAACCCTATTTAAAAAAGCAATAAAAAATAGGACAGGAGAAGGCCAGAGTGGCTTTTTATGCTCACCTGGCAACCTTAATTAATTAATTAATTAATTAATTAATTAAATTGTATTTATACCCCGCCCTCCCCGCGAACGGCCCAATATCTAGAGGGAAAGGATTAGAGCTACCCAGGACCTGTGGTTCAGCCATGGAGGCTGTTTCCATTGGCAGGACTCAGACCCTGTATGAATGCATTTTTCTAAGTATTCAAGGCCTTGTTCGGTTTGAGGTGCCTACCTGATTCACAAGGAGCGTCCCTGTGATGTATTGGATCTAGTCTGTGGGATTGGACCAGGTTGCGCCCACTTCAAATCCTCACGCAGCCCTTGAGCTTCCTGGGTGACCTTGTGGCAGTCTGCCTCCCTCAGCCAATGCCGGTTCACAGAATTTTAGTGGTGTTTTTTTTTTTAAGGATCTAATGGGGAATCTTCTTTGGTAAATAATATTCTGGAAATACATTTCACTGCAGTTTTCAATCTGTCTTTAGGGAGTCATAATGTTTTTAATTTGGAAAGTGTATTTTAATGATGATGTGTTCAGTGAGCTTCCTTGTGAGCTTAAGGCAGGACAGCAATGAGCACAGTAACAAATACACTAATAACAATAAAGGAAAAACACACTCACAGATATAAAATAGTCTCAGTCTGCTCTGCATCTTTGATCTAGCCGAGGAGCCCCTGGCTTGGATCCTGTGCCTTTCTTCTGCATGATGTGGGGTTTGTTATTTTATTCTGGCTTTAACTGGAAACGTTTTTAACCGTTATTGCAGCCCACCTTGAGCCACTAGGAAAGGCGGGGTGTCAACATTTTTATAAGTAAATAATAAATAAATGAAGGCGCTCCTTTCGGGCCACTCTGCTCATCCTCTGCTGCAGAGTGCATTTTCTCTGGTACTTCTAATTAGTTTTGACGCCTCCAGCTTGGAAGGCCCTGGAGATCTGGGGTGGTGCCTAGAGGGGCTGGAGTTTGGGGAGAGCAGGGAGCTCAGCGGGGTGGGGTGATGCCACAGAACGCGTCATTTCCTCCTGGGGAACTGATCTTTGTTGCCTGAAATTCTGGAGGGCTCCATGCCCCACTTTGAGGTTGGTAACCATAAGTGCTAGGCGTAGGGTTGCCAACCTCCAGATGGGGCCTGGAGACCCCCTACTATTACAACTGATCTCCAGACAATAGAGCTCACTTCCCCTGGAGAAAATGGCTGCTCTGGAGGGTGGACTCTGTGGCATTGTACCCTGCAGAAGTACCTCCCCTCCCCAAACCCCGCCCTCCCCAGGCTCCACTCCCCCAAATCTCCAGGTATTTCCCAACCCAGAGCTGGCAACCCTACTCAAGACCAATGTTTTCCGAGGAGCTCCAAGGTGCCTCGTGCGAGAGGAATGTGCTGGCCAGCAGAGGCACAGCTACCAAGGCACAAGATGCAAGCCAATCTCTTTCTGCTAAACCTAATTGGACCTTCAGTTGCAAGTTCAATTGGAAAATCAACCTTCGGCTGGGGTTTGTTGGCATCAGATCACTGTGTGTCTGACCCTGAATAATACTTATGTGTTAGATTTCTCATTATACATATAGGCAGGAATAAGGAGAAGAGTGCCTCTGTACACATGCAGAAGTGTTGGGCTTAGGGGGCGGGTGTAAGTCGTTAGGGCCTCTATTTTTGCAAATTAAGCACTGGGAAAAGGAGTATGACGGGGAAAGGTGCTATAAGGTAATTTACGTGTGTATCTTCTGGAAGGAGGGGCTGTGGCTGAGTAGCAGAGCATGTGCTTTGCAGACCAAAGGTCCCAGGTTCAATTCTGGGCATCTCTAGTTGAAGGATCTCAGGGAACAGGAAATGCCCTCCTGTCCGTGAGACTTGGAAGATACGGTGCTGTTCAGAGCAACCTAAGGCCCAATGCATTGTAAGGCATATCATATTGTTCCTTCCGCTGCTATAGATGGTCCAGAGTTGTGGTCCTCAACGCAGATCGAGGACTACAGCACCAGCGACATGGCCCAAATGGCTATGTCTGTACATGGCCGCTGCCTGCTTTATCCCAATGCCTCCCTCTGCTGGAAAGATAGTGCTGCTCTAGAAGCAACCTGTTCTGACATCCCCAATTCCACAGCCACCAGATCCGACCAGGTAAAGGAATGGCAGTCCTGTGATGAGCTCAGTGGGATGACGGTGGGGCGGGCGGGCTTTGTGGTTTAGTGAACAGGATGTGGATAGCAAAGATGAAAGGCTGAGAGTGGTGGGATTTGGGAGCCAGTTGCTCCAAAGGACAGTTGGTGTAATACTGTGATTATTTTGGATTCTGAGTGTGTTGGGAGAAGAATGGGATATAAAAAAATGGCCTAAATTAATTAACTTTCTTTGAGGATTTTTAAAGAGAATGCAGCCCCAGGGGGATTGCAGTTTAAGAGAGCAGGAAGGTATT